TGCTATCTTGGGGAGATTCCTTAGGAAGAGAAAAACGGTGCCATTTTTGCGGAAGTGTAGTTGCAGAGTAACATTTTCAATCGTCTGTAAAACTCAGGCCATTTTAGCTTTGTCTTCCTCTCCTAAGGACTTGTCTCCTTCAGTCGGCTGCCCGTAGCTTGAAGCTAGCGCCCCCCACAGGCCTGCACTTCACCTCGCAATAATTATGCTCCGACATTCCCTATGCACAAGCAATGTGTCCTTAGTGTTTGAAGTGTTCTTTCTGCATGCAAATCTGATCCTGTCACTCCCCAGCTAAAGCCCCCCATTGTTCCCATTGCCTTTGGGACAGAGCCCACGTTCTTCAGGATGTAGACAAGGTCCTCCTTCATTGGGCCTTGCTACCCTCTTTTATTTTTCTAATTATTTATTTATTCATTTTTAATTGGCATATAATAATGGCACACATTCATGCAGTACATAGTGATGCTGTGATACATACGCTGTATGGAGAACATATCAGGGTAATTACCATATCCATAATCTCCAATATTTATCATTTCTCTGTGTTGGGAGCATTTAATATTCTCCTTTTAGCAATTGGACGCTGTATATTCCTGTTAACTGTAGTCATCCTGCAGTGCTAGAGAACACTAGAACTTACTCCTCCTATGTAGCTATAGTTTTGTGTCCTTTGACAAATGTCTGGTGGATTCATGTCTCGCTTTCTCCTGTGTCTCTCCCACGACCGTCATCCTGTGCTGGCCGAGCTGGGGCCTCCCTGAGCTGTCTCCCTGCAGCTCCACAAAATTCTGTGCCTCTCACATCTCCATGCCAACACACACACTCTTCTCTCTGCCTCAGTGTATTTTCCAGACCAGGTTAGATGCCCGGCCCCTGTGCTCTGTGATGTATATATGCCATCAGCTCTCTCACCACACTGGACCCGAATCCTGGCTTACTTGTCTGTCTTCCCCACTCGGCTGGGAACTAAGCAAGGACGGGCACTGCCTAGGACTCATCTCTACCTCCTGGCTCTCAGCAGAAAGATGGACACATAGGCTCAGTTGGCATCTCAGTACATTCTTGTTCATTAAATGAAGGAATGAATGAATGAATGAGTTACCCATGTTTTTCCCTGAAGGGGAGTTCAACATGGTACTACTTGCTTATTTCCTAAGTGTTCAGATGTAAAGATTCAATTAAACTCAGCAAATATCTATAGGACGCTTGTCTTGTGCTAGTCCCGTGCCAGGCACTGGAGATACAAAGACAAAGCAGCACAGTCCTGGGGACCGGCAAGCAGCACCCCCGCCTGGGAAGCCAGGCTGCCCACTGCACGACAATGGCCACACCTCACGTGAGGCGTGGCTGGGTTTTCCACAAGAGGGCTCAGTTCAGGGCAGGAGCTCCTGCTCAATGGCTTGTGAAAACAACAGCCGGCCTTTCCCAGGCTCCGCTCCCTGACAGGGAAGCAGTAAAGAGCTGGGTACTGCAGCCATTGTGTCCACCCATGGAGGGACAGTAGGAGCCAAGCGACCCTGGGATGAAGGCAGAAGGTGGCCGGCTTCGAGCCCTGCAGAAGACTGCTGCAAAGGACGGGATTGTGAAGCCGTGTTTCCTTAGAGCTCTGACTTATACCACCTGGACATTTGGACGGACTTTTAGTGTGTCTTTCAGAGGGGTGTTGACAGAATCAAGGAACACTAAATCCTCCAGAGCCACCAAGCGCGCCACCACTGGGGATGAAGGCTTTCGTCCCCTCCCGAAGTATTATCATGCATCTGTGATGGGGGTAGGGGGCAGGAGGTTGGGGAACTTGGAGCCGGAGGACCCTTCCCAGCATCCGGAAAACCATATCAAGTGAAGGGATACTGACCAGAGAGGGTCTTGTCCATGTTCATTATTCCTTCAGAAGCTATTATAGCAGGACACAGTATAGAATCAGGGTTAGCAAGGAAGATGGGAAAACTCTCAGTCCACTCAACTGCTTTTAACTTATTAGTCTTATGTCTGTCCCCACACTTCCACACTGTCTCACGATGTCGCAAAGTTCCGGAAAGAAGGTGACTAGCCCTGGGAGAGTCAGACAGAAGTCAAGCTGCAGGTGGAACATTTAGTTCCTGACGGGAGGGCGACCAACCTGTAGTCCAGACACACGATACAAGCCTCGACCGCCTCCCCTTTGCAAGAGGCTTTGAAGAGCAAGTGCACAAACGGGGACAGAGGCGGGGAGAACGAGGGGGAGGAGGGACAGTGAGCGCTCGAGCAGCGAGGACAGCCCCTTGGAAGTCTGGTATGGTTCTGTCATGTTGCATCTTCATCACAAAGGGGCCAAATCTAAAGTAAAAAATAGAAAAGACTCAGAGAAAATAAATCATGCAGACTCGCGACGACCTAATTAAAAAGCTACTCTATCTGCTGCCATGTTCTATTTATAGCCAACATAGGAGCATTCCTGACAGGAAATCTAAATGACAGCAAACCTAGGGTTTTAAGGCCATCAGTGCGGGTTTGCTTAATAAATCATCGCTGTGCTCGCAAGCTTGGGTCTTTTTATTCATATGAAAATTCTTCTATTCTAATGAAACTGTTAGTTCCGTTCTCTTTTCTGCCCAAGATGACATTGGTGGAATGTATTGTTACCCAGGAATTGGGGGTAAAGAAGTAAAAGGATCCCTTTATATAAAATCTTTTGCTAAATACATATGGACTTCATAATACAGCATTACCCTCAATACACCCTCCCGCTTGTCCAAAATCCTGTCTTTTCCAGGTTATGTCATACCTCGTATTTTCAGTGATCATTGTAAGTAACTTTATTATGTTTCACTGAAATCACAGAAACCAAACCAATAAGGGAAAAAAAAAAAAAACCTTTTAAGAAGAAAGATGCAGAATCTTTTACCAGATGTTAAGAGGAAAAAAGCAGATTATATATAGTGTAAGAATCAGACGTGTAGTTCTGAAACCCGGATGTCTGGGGCCTGGATGCAGCTGCCAGCAAGTTCTGTCACTGCGCGAGGGGCAGAGGTAGAATTCATCTCTCAAGGACAATTGCTTTTTAGTTTTGGGGGGAAAACATCTTTAACAAGCCTTTCAGTTCTGGAAACGGCATTCTTCAGCCCGAGAACAGTTCAGATACTTGTAAAAAAAAAAAAAAAAAAAAAAAACATCCCCCAGTGCTAAGTTCAAGTGTTTTTATTATGATACTTCAAAGATATGTATTTAAGACAAGATTTGAAGTCCTGATCCTCGTGGCTCTTGTACCAAAGCAAACTGCAATGCTCAATTTTATGTGTCAGCTTGGCTGAGCCGCAGTACTCAGCTGTTTGGTCAAACGCCACTCTAGCTATCTCTGCGAGGGTACTTTCAGATGAGGTTAACACTCAGATGAGTAGACTTTGAGTCAGGCAGATCACCTTCCGCAATGGGGATGGGCCTCACCCAATCAATAAAACTCCTTAAGAGAAAAAAGACTGATCTCCCCCAAGCAAGAAGAAATTCTGCCAGCAGATGGCCTCCAGGCTTGAACTGCACATCAACTCTCCTGGCCTGCCCTGCAGATTTGGGACTTGCCAACCTCCATAATCATGTGAGCCAATTTCTTAAAATCAGTCAATCTCCCCTCCTCTTATCTTTCTCTCTCTCTCTCCACACATCCTATTGCTTCTATTTTCTTTGGAAATCCCTGACTAATACACAAATCTGCAAGTTAAATACCCCCGAACTACAAAAACAATACAATTGCAACGAACAATTCTAATGCAATGTAACAGATACTGTTAGCTTTGTAGAGTCACTGATATTAGGTTTCATAGAGGAAAGATGGCTTCTTAGAACTGTTTCGACATTTCATCTATTTCTACATTTGATTTTAAAAACTCTAATGCCGAGAAAGTTTGTGTATATAAATGCATTGTACAAAGCAATATAAATAACGTTAAGCTTTTTTTTTTTTTGCCAAACCTAGAAAATTAGAACTCATACTTAATTAAAATTTTAACCAATAAGCAATCTTCAAATAATAATTCTATTTTAGCAGTTTTACTGATTGGAGGATAAAATTAACATTGTAGCCTTACTTAAACTTACATTAAATATTATCTAACTCAATTATTGCTGGAATTGGGAAGAAAAACATTCTTTTCTGCTAATAGACTGTTTTATTTGCTGCATACAAATATGGAACACTGAATACAACCACTTTTAAATACGAATATGGTACTGACTGCCAGAGAACAGGATCTTTAGAATTCCTCATGCTTATATTATCATATGCGATGGCTCATTCAATTCTTCTACCACTTTATTCAAGCAGTTACAAACCCTTTGTTTATACAGCGTGCCATGATACCATTTGGGCTTTGGTTCACAAACTTCACAAATGCAAATGCAGACACTAAAAATCCTTGCCAGTAATCATTTATAAGCTGGTCCACCAGATAATCCAGAATGTATTTTTAAACAAACATTTCATTGAAATGAAAACACAGTATATTTAAAACAATCTTACATGTAAAGAGCTCTTAAATATTAGTAAAGAAAGATGAATAATCTTATCCGTGGAGAAAGAACATGCATAGGTAAGTCATGAAAAAAATGGAACATGGCATATAAATATCTAAAAAGACTTCTGCTTAAGTATGGCAAATGGAACACTCATATCTGTCTTTGCTCCCATCCCTACCCTACTAAAATTGCAAAAAAGTGTTAAAAAGTATAACTCCATCATATGAGGGGAAGACAGCCTCTGAGGAATATGGACATCGTTTTGGAAGCTGGGGAGCTGGCAGACCAGTGACAGTTGACTTAGCGGGCAGAGCGGAACCCAAGACCACAAGAGCGGGGAGTAGAAATGGACACAGAAGCCAAGAAGCAAACCAATTCCCACGGCAACCCCCAAAAGGCACCGAGATTGGATGTCCCAGGTACCTCTGAAAACATGATTATGAGGTCAGGGCAATGATGAGTGAATTCACTGGCTATACTTCAGGACACCCTCTGCTCCACTGCACAGCTCAGCGACTGCCTCCACCCTGCTGCAGCAGGAAACCGAGGTGGATTCTCCCTCTGAATGTGGGACAGCAGGTGCAACTGGACATGAGGGTGTAAGTAATGTCCTCAGGCTGAATGGAGATGCCCTCACCCCCAGCTTTCTCCACATTTGTGAGCGCAATGTTAATAGTCGGGCAGGGGTTGGAGGATTTTTCTCTGGGGAAATTAACAAGCCCAAGAGAAAAGAACCAATGTTAAACACCCTTGGGGAGCTTCCAAAGCATTTCCCACCTGATCACCCTACATGGAAGCTAAAAAGTCAAAAATTCTTACTCATGTCCATAAAGTTTCCAAGCAAAGATTTTGGAGTCTCACTTTTAAATGTGAACAAACAATTAGGAAGTATCGGACATCTCAGAAATGCCTATGACGTGAAAGATGGGGGCACTGGACCCCTCAACAGCAAACCCAGAGGCTCAAAGACAACGGACTGATGCCGTCAGAGTGCTGGGGAAGCTGTCTCCAAAAACTGGAACTCCATACACTGTGACTTAAAACGTAGATAGGATAAAGGCATTTTCAAATACTGTAAGGTCTCACAAATTTGAGTTTCATGTACCCTTTCACAAAAAACTACTGGATGATGTTCTTCACCAAAACAAGTTAATAAACAAAGAAAGAGGAAGAGAGGTGTTCAGCAAATAGGGAATCCAGCAGAAGTGAGTGGAAGGAATTCCCAGATCGCTGAGGGTCCTAGGGCAGCAGCAATGGAGCAGGCCTGGAGAGAACTGACCAAACCAGTGCGAGAAGACAGGGGATTCCAGAAAAGATGTTTTTGGAGGTGGGTGGGCCACCATACTATTATGTTTGAACATACTGGGGAAGATTTTTTCTAATTCTGCCAGATATCTTGAAGATGAAAGATACATAAAAAATTAAATAAATAAAATATGAGGCAATGAATAACTCCAGGAAAAACAAATGATACAAGGAAATGTATCATAGTATGCAACACAGCTTCCTTGTAACTAATATTTACAGGGACACAAATTTTAAAAACATTCTATATTGATTTAGCCAAACAAGAGTTAACTAACTATACTGCAAAGAGGGAGGAAGTGTATGGTGAAGGGTGTAGCCAAAAGGACAACACAGGAGGTAGAGGGTCTAACTCCACATCTGCTGCAATAGAGAGTCAACCGATAGTAACCCAGGAATTAAGATAACATGTTATTTAGAAAGGTAGGTAAATGAAAGAATAGAATGAAGAAGTTAACAGCACATTCAGGCAATCGTTGTCTTTCATTGTACGCTTGGCTATGGCGCTGGGATTGTTCAGCCACGTAAGTATCATTGATTCTTGCATCTCGGGTTTCACACCCTCATGCAGTCCCCTCTCACGAGGAACAGGCTGTAAACCAACAGGATGTTGTGGAAGCAGCAGAGTGTGGCTTTGAAGGCTGGGTCACAAAAGATACAGTGGGAGCTGCATGGCTCACTTGGGCCTCCTGCTCTTGAAGAAGCTGGCTGGCTCCATGCTGCAGGGACACTCGGCCAGCCCGATAGAAAACGCATGTGGGAGGGACGCAGCCAAGTCAGCCTTTCTGCCCCTACCAGTGAGCATTTTGGAAGCGGCTCCTCCAGCTGCAGTCGAGCCTTCAGCAGATTGCAGCCCTGCCGACACCCCGGCTGCAACCACAGCAGGAACCCAGAGCCAGAAACCCTCATCCAAGCTGCTCTTGGACTGATGAGCCCCAGGGACAGTGAGATAACAAATTTTTTTTGTTTTTTTTTTTAACTTTTTAGAAAACACTGTCGGTGTTTATGGTTTTAAGTTTCGAGGTAATTTGTTCCATGGAAAAGGTAACGGCTGTAAGTGACAGTACACTGGAGAAGCTCATTATGAAGGCACAAGAAGTGACCGGACAAGGAATCTCATGGAACACCGACAGCCCAGTGTGAGTGTGACTGGCCTCCAGGACAGGTGACCCCAGAATGGATCTGGGAGACTTGTGAACTCCTCTTGGAGACCCCCGGAAATTCTATGGTGTGTAGAAACCAGAAGGTGGTGATCGGAAGGCTAGATTCCCATTAACAGGAAATGTGAGGTTCAAGTCGTTCTGCAGTGCCATGGTACTTACTGCACGGTGACTCTACTAGAAGGAAACTTCAATAGAAGGTATCTGGGATGATAAGTAAACATTCACCTGCCTTCTTGTACTCTGCTAAACTTTCCATTTTCTGCAGTAAGCTTGTGTTGGTTTTATATTCAACGTAAATTCATAAAATTAAATTTAAATGTAGAGGCAGCTCAAATCAAGGTGAAAAATCATCCTGCAGGCCGGGCGCGGTGGCTCATGCCTGTAATCCTAGCTCTCTGGGAGGCCGAGGCGGGCGGATTGCTCGAGGTCAGGAGTTTGAAACCAGCCTGAGCAAGAGCGAGACCCCGTCTCTACTATAAATAGAAAGAAATTAATTGGCCAACTAATATATATAGAAAAAATTAGCCAGGCATGGTGGCACGTGCCTGTAGTCCCAGCTACTCGGGAGGCTGAGGCAGGAGGATTGCTTGAGCCCAGGAGTTTGAGGTTGCTGTGAGCTAGGCTGACGCCACGGCACTCACTCTAGCCTGGGCAACAAAGTGAGACTCTGTCTCAAAAAAAAAAAAAAAAATCATCCTGCAAAATTATCTTCTAAAGTCAATCACCTAAATACATTTAAGCCACCAACAGGGAGTTGGCCCCTGACATCTCCTAGTGGATTTGATGGCTGCAGAGTCGGTGCGTGGAGCCCTGGCTGCCTGGAACTGGAGGCTGATCAAGGCGGCTCTAACACACAGAAGCTCAACTCAAAAGGGAGACTTCCTGCGAGCAGGATGGCTCACAGATTTGAGGGGTGAAGTGGTAAATAAGCCTCAGGAGGTAGAGACCAAGACCACCTGGAGTCTCAGGGACTGGAAACGGGGCCTCAGTCACCCATGGGCATTCCTCGCTCTCACCACCCCTCCCTTACTCTGCTGGGACTCGTTCTCTCCTCTCACCTGCTGTGACAGAGCCCAGAATCTCCGACTTCCAAATCCAGGGCTTGAGAGTAGAGGCTCTCCCCATCAGCTCTGCCAGGAAAAAAAAAAAAAATGAATCCTACCTGGCTTGTTCCTGCCAGTCGCTGAGGCTATGGCCAGGGGTAAGGACTACCATGACAGAGCCACACGTCCGTCTCTGTGGCCAAGGGCTGGACCCGTCACCAGAACGAAGGGAAGAACGCAGGCAAAGACAAGAGACACCTCGGTGACTTCGTTGAAGTATAAAGTGCTATATAAGTGTCACTTAGGATGAGTATTAATGTGTAGCTCTTTTGAGACTCGGTTTCCTTACTTTTAATAGAGGGGAATATTTCCTACCTATATTACAACATTATTGGGGAATTTAAGTGAGATAATGGATGTGGAGGTATTTTGTGAATTATGTAGTGTGTACAAACCTAAAAGATTATTATTGATAAGACTATTTCCTTCCCCTTTAGGCTGGAAACTAAGCAAAAAGCAAGAGTTGTCAGATCCCGAGTTTGCAGGTGGAAATGATAACGTCTTCATTGGATGGTGACTTTCCAGGCCTTGCAATCATTATATGGCTTTGATTTCCCCCTTGACTTTATAAGAACAGTGCTATTGGTCTCTTCCACTGCCCTTCTGCAGTATGTTGGATGCCTGTATGGATGTGTCCACCACGTGCAGCTCTGAGGTCACATGCAGATGCTTCACGGTGGCTTTGCAGCCGGTGGAGGCGTGAGTCACTGTCCAGGCAGCCAGCAGGGCCCTGCCTGCCCCATGAGCATGTCTGTGATGGAAAGGCCAGGTGCAGAGGTTGTTAGGGATGGAGGGAGCCAGAGACATGCTCCAGTTCAACTCACCCTGAATGATGCTGAGTACTTCATGATCCCAGGGGCAAACTGCAGCCAAAGCTGGTGGCCATGATGGGTTTCTCCCCGACCTGCAGATGGACAACTTTGAGGGGTTTCTACACTCTCCTCCACAGGCCCCGGTGAGACTTCAGGTGCCCCAAGGGAGCCTGGCACACCCTTTCCTGACTTTTCTCTCTCCCACCCTACATCCCCACACCCTCACTGTGCTCCCTGGGACCAACTCTCAATAAGCCACCTGTCCCCAAGTTCTTGTCTCAGAGTCTGTCTTCAAGGAACCCAAACTAAGACACCCAGGAAGTGACACTCAGCTAGGGATGGAACTGGTACTAGAACCTAGGCCATTTGCCCTCACTTTAAATTGTAATTGTCAGAGCAAATGTGGGTGTGCAATGAGCCACTCCAATCTTACCTCTGCAACCAACCAACCAGACCACCAAACAAACAAAAAACAAACTGACCAAACAACCAAACAACTCAAACAAAAACCAAACAACCAAATAAACAAAAACCAAAACAGTACACTCTGAATCCACCAAAATCTCTATGTGAAAATCCATGTAGAGACTGAACTCATGACTTCCAACTTGCTGAATATCAAATGCCAATAAATCGAGCAGACATGCTTATTATAACTAAGAAAGGAGTTCCATTTGCAGGGTGACTTACCATATGCTTTAGGTGGAGTTCTGTGGGTGGGAAGTACTTTGAACAGTCTCCATGGTTCAGGGTTGGGGATCTAGTTTTAAAAGCCAGACATATAATTTTTATCCTTCCCCTAGAGTTGATGAACCTCTGCAGGACAGGCTTACTGGCCAAATTCACTTGGCACATGTTGACAAGCCAAAGAATTCCTTAGAATGAGAGTATTTGCAGAGGGAGAACATGGGCTGCCATCTCCCTAGGATGTTCCATGGGGTAAATGATACGGGAGACAGTTCTCGGGTCAGAAAGCTGCACTTTGAGCACAGAATTAGAGCGGGAGAAATAGGTGGTTATGCAGAGACATCTCTATCCACCCACAGCAGATTGAAACAAATGCCCTTCTCTCCCCTGGAGGTGTTTCTGGCTAAAGAATAAGAGTATTCTTCCAGAATTAAGACAATCTCCTCCTGTGTGGGACACACAAAGCACACATCCTAACACTCTGCCTCCCTGTTCTTTTGGCCGCCATATACAAATCACCCCAACCCTCATGTTAGTATTACACATCTTGTATTCAGACATGGGGGTGCCAAAATTGGTTCAGGCACGTGTTTTCAGTTACACTCCAGTACTACGGATATGAGCTGCTCATCTCATTGGGTTTAGTGTCCTCCAGGTCTCTTCGGTAACATATAGAAACCCTCTCCTGGGGTGCAGGTAGCTCCTACTGTCATCAACATGCTAGTCTTTCACTTGTTTATCTCTCAAATGGTGCCCCTTCCTCCCAATCCCAAGGGTTGGACTGTGAAGTCCCCATAAAAGTCTTTTGACATCTTGCACCGAGTAGAAACAGCAGTAGGGAGGAACATCCTCAACTGAGAAAAAATGTAATGAGAAAAACAGGCCCCAAAATAATAAAACCATGAAATGAATTTCTTAACTCATGGGTTACTGTTGCCATGAACTAGAAAGACGTGAGGAACTTTGTATCCTCATATCTTTCCTACTCCAAAAGAAATGCCAAAGCTTGGTGTGAAATGAAATGATGAGACCACTGAGAAGCCCCTGAAGTTATCTGAGATGATGTCCCGTGGCTGTGTGTCCAGTGGCCGATCTGCTTGTTAACCCGATTGTACAGAGGCAACCTCCATGGAGAGGCTTGTCACCCTGACTGTTGTTTAGACTGTGGAATCCAGAGTCACCAGGTCTTATTTTCATGCATGGTTGGGGACAACTGCAGGGCTGGATTTTTTTTGTGTAATGTCCTCTGGGGCAGAGCTATGCTTTTTGGACTTCCCTGGAAGGGGAGGGCACAGCTGTGAGGTGTGGGGGCTGGAAACACCCTGGAGGCATCATGTTGCTACACCTGCCCATTTCGAGGAAGTATTTGATCCAAGGTAAAAATATGAGCACCTTTAGTGTGTTTACAAAAGGCCCAGCTCTCTCTTCTGTTAAGAGTCCGTGAATGTGATGTTCATTTTGCTCCTTACCTTTGGAGACTCTTGAATTAAATTCAATAGGAACAAATAGCGTATTTAAAGATCATTCAGAACGGGAGGGTACACACACACACACACACGAGCACAGACACGCACACGCACACGCAAACATATTCATGCAGCCGGAGTGATTTTCCGAGCTGCCGTTCCAAAAGAAACCAGGCTTTAAAAGGTCGCATCCGGACTCGGCATCAATCAAAATGCCACAGAGCAGCTGCAGCAATTCAGCCCAGCACAATACCTGCCAAGCGAGCCTGTCTTCTGTGCCGAGCGCCTAATGGGAATTTCTGCCTGAATGGGAGCCCAGGGCAGAGGGCAGCAGGAGGGTCACCAGGCCCAGGAAGGGAGCAGCCTGGGGAATACGCACAGCAGCTCCATCTGCAGGGAGCCAGCGCAGCCTGAAAAATGAGAAAGGCAGGAGAGAAGAGTGGGGATTTGTGAAGCCAGCAGGCACAAGTGAGTTGCTTGTATTTTTTTTTTTTCCAAGAATGAATTGCATCCTTTGTGTCCACATTCAAGGTGCCCTTAGGAAGGCTGGTGAGGACGTCTGCTGCTCCAGTATAAAATGTCCACCAATATTGCTGTCCCGAATTGTCTTTTTTCCTACATCTGGGACTTAAGTCACCACTTAGAAGGCCTTCGGGCCAGAGAAGTAAAGGAAATAATACGATGCTTTTAACGATTTCATTTATGCAGCACTCCCCTCTGAGGATGAGGGGTGGGTGAGCAGGGCAGCGTCCTTAGACAATATCTAGAAATTCTTCCACAAGGGAATGCATGTATCTGCTTTTATTTTATTGTATTTATTTATTTATTTATTTATTTCAGACAGGGTCTCGCTCTGTCACCCAGGCTAGAGTGCAGTAGCATGATCACAGAGCTCACTGCAGCCTCAAACTCCTGGGCTCAAGCAATCCTCCCGCCTCAGCTCCCCTAGTAGCTGGGAATTACAGCTATGTGCCACCACACCCAGCTAATTAAAAAAAAAAAAAATTTGTAGAGACAGAATCTCATTATCTTGCCCAGGCTGGTCTCGAACTCCTGGCCTGATCCTCCCACCTGGTCTCCCAAAGTGCTGGCATTACAGGTGTGAATTGCCTTTTGCTTTTGTTCTAAAGGTGCCCAGATAACTGGGCATTTAATTTCCAACCTTTTAGAAACACTCAGCGGTTAATCCATACATCATCATTGAAATTAGTCTCGTTTTTAAAAAAAAGAAACATGCTCAACAGATAAAATAATTTCCCTCAGATATTTACTTTCCTTCATTTTGGCAGCTACACTTGGAATTGTCGAACAATAGATAGCGCTGTTTCTGTCTCTAAATCATACTCGGGTTTCACAACAGATCTGATAGTGATGCCCATCGCTGACCAACAGCTACTGAGCAACCTTGTCTGCATCTGCTCAGCTCATTTTCAGAACTGCGAATTACGCACAACTAGTCCCATTTTACAGCTGGAGAAAACAAGGCAATTAATCAATGGGGGAAAACAAGGCACAGTTATAATAAACAACTTACTAATTCCCAGCGCTGGTAAACTGGGAAGCTGGGATTTGTCCCTCCCGGCTTGCCCCCCTCCGCCTCCCGTCTCCCTTTCTTTCTGCCTGCGGCCTCCACTAAATTTGCAAGGTCCCCACTACATTTGCAAAGTCCCTGGGCCACGTCTGGCTTCGTTCTCACTCACACCGGCTCCCTCTTCAATAAAATCCCTCCATGATCCCAAATAAAGACGGGGGAGATGTGGGGATCGCAGGCCCAGCTCCCCAGCAATCCCAGAGCAGAGTGGTCGTCCTCACTCTCGGACTTGGGGTACAGTGACCACGTGGAGCTGGCTGCAGGGCCTCCCCCCAACACACACCCTCCTTGCTTAGCACCCTGACGGCCGGCAGGGGGCGCGGACGAGCACCGTCTCCGCGAGCTCGGGGAGGGCGCCAAGACCCGCCGCGGCTGCCCGCAGCGGGGACAAGGACGTCCTTCCTCGTCCCACTAACCCCAACCAGCCCCAGCCGCGGCCCACGCTGGGCTCCGTGGAAGCCCGTGGGCGGCACAGGGAGCACGTGCAGGCCCTCTCTCACCGGCCGCGGGGACGGTCGCGCAGGGTGTGCACCGGCAGTCAGATTCTGGCGCCCTCTGCTCCTGGCCGTGTGACATTCCCGCGCGCTATCCTGATATTCCCAGCCCAGCCTCCCCCGCCTGCGCTGCGGTGAGGAACGACGGGAATGAAATAGCGGCGCGTCCAGCGCCTGGAAATCGGTGACGAGAGAGTGTCATCCTCAAAAACAGGCATTAAACGGCCCCAGAGGGCAAGAGAAGTGGGTGACAGCCGCGGCCTCGCTGGATCTGCGGGCAGGACCGAGCAGCCCGGCTTAGAAAACAGTTCCCGCCTGTAATCCTAGCTCTCTGGGAGGCCGAGGCGGGAGGATCGCTCGAGGTCTGGAGTTCGAAACCAGCCTGAGCAAGAGCGAGACCTCCTCCCCCCAGTCTCTACTAAAAATAGAAAGAAAATTAATTGGCCAACTAAAAATATATAGAAAAAAATTAGCCCGGCACGGTGGCGCATGCCTGGCCTGTAGTCCCAGCTACTCGGGAGGCTGAGGCAGGAGGATCGCTT